AGCCGTCCAAGTCCGGGGATGGGGCCGCCCCGGGGCTGACCTTCCACTGCCCCGTTTCCATCCCGCGCCGGACGGAGGACCCGCACCGCGCGAAACACCGCGGATTTCCCTCCCCGGCCGCCAAATTCCACCACCCCCTCCGGGGCGATGGCCCGCATTATCGCGGGCGATCCTCCGTCCGGGCGCATTGCCGTCTTTTTACCGGCGAAGGCCCAAGCCGGGTCTACATGATTATCCCCGAGGACATCCCCCTATCCCCCCTTTGCGCCGCCCTGGCCTATCGCCTGCCGCGGATCGCGGCGGACCTTCTTTGCATCTCCCCGCACTCCGCCCTGCTTCTTTCGGACGACGCCACCGCCTTCGCGAAGGTGTCGATTCACGCCCGCCGCACGGCGCTGCTCGCGGCGTGCGCGCTGGGCTATGAGGGGGTGGTCCGCACCCTCTGCAAACACATCCCGCCCCATGAAATTCTCATCCTTTTTGGCATCCAAACCACCACCGAGGAGCTGAAGCAGCTGCAGGATGCGTTCTGCCGGCGAAAACAAAAGTCGCGGCTTTCCCTGACCGGGGAGCGGCTAATCCAGCTGGAGCGCCCCAATGGCGCCGGGGGGGGGGGGCCTTTTCAGGGGAGTTCTCGGTCTTCGCCAATAACGTCTCCCTGGGGACGTTGTATGCGATGCACCGGAATTTATACACCCCTTTGCACTGCGCCTTGTTGGGGGGCAATCACACCGGATGCGCGATGGCGCTGATCGACGTTCTTCAGAAGTTTCTGGTCCCCCTGCCGCGTTCTCGCGCCGCGGCGCCGTCCCCGCACGGGTGTTTTCTGGCCGAAGCCCTCAATTTGGCCACCCCGATGGGGGAATCCGCCTTGATGATGGCGGTTCGCCATCGCAATACGAATTTGGCCCTGCGTTTGCTCGGGCTGGGGGCCAAAGCGACCGCGATCGATCGCTTTTCGCGCGAGCACGTTCTCGAAATCGCGTGCGCGAATGCCGACGTCCCTATCATCCTCGCCCTTCTGGATGAGCGGCGGGATGGGCCGGATCGCTACGACGTGGGGTTGGTGAATCATGTGGGGGTGGCGTCGTGTTTGTGTTGGTGTGCGTTGAATAACCTGGCGGAGATTATCCCTCTGCTTTTACGCCGAGGTGCGGATCCGGCGATGATGCTGGAAAGGAGCGCGCCGCTGCTTTTGGCGGTGACCTTCGGGAGTGAGCAGGCCGCCTTGGCGCTGTTGGCGCACACCCACAGCCCGCAAGAAGTCGCCAAGCGGGTTCGGCAGGAGACGGTGGATCCCCTTGGCTCGTCCACCCGAAACGGCCCCGAAGTCGAAAAAAAGACGCCCCCTACGAAAGGCACCCTTTTCAACCGCGCGGAGAAGCCGGTGCTCGACGTGGATGACATTGAGCCTCATTCGCACTGCACGGCTTTGCACATCGCGTGTGAACTCGGGCAGCGGCAGGTCGTGCAGGTGCTCCTGAGCAAAGGCGCCATCCTCGACCTGACGAGCAAAAAGAACGGCTACACCCCACTCCACACGGCCCTGTTGAATAACCAAGAGCAAGTCGCGATGGCGGTATTGGCGTTTGCGAAAAAGAAACTCCGCCATGGCGTGTGCGTGCTGGATCTTCTGGCATCCGACGCGGCGGGGGATACCACCCTGCACGTCGCCGCGCGTCAGGGCATCTCCTCCGTCGTGGAGTACATTCTCGAGCAGTTCAGCGATGAGGAGATCTCCCGTCTTCGGGAGCTGCGAACCTTCACGAGGCGCGAACCCGCCGCCGCGCCGATCGGCGTGGTGAATAAACAAGGACGAACACCACTGCTCGTGGCGATCCAAGCCGAGCGCTCCTTCACCGCGAAGCTGATTATTTTTCTAACGCCGCAGACCACTTTACAGCCGGGGGGGCCGATATTTGAGGGGACGTGTATTGCAATTCTACAAGCCATGAAAAGCAATCTGCACGAGGTCGTCTTGTCCATGCTGACGATTGGGAATCATGACTGGTATCCCGCGAGTGATGCGTTTCGTGAGATGTTCTTCTCCTTGTACAACACCCTGCCGGATGGCCCCCAAAGCCTCGGGGGGAGGGAGAGCCAGGAGACCATTGAATTAGGGGACGGGAGTCTTCGGGAAGACCTCACCCCGAACCGAGACTCCGAAGCCTCGGACGGGAAGTTCACGTCAAGCAACCCCACCACGGTGCCGTCCTTATTGATTAGAAAGACCGAGGAGAGCTCCAGCCGGCGATCCAAAACCCCACGGCCCCCGCTTCGCGAAGGCAATAGCATCGAGCGCAATAGCAGGTCGCGTGTAAGCCTCAAGGCGACGAACTACACCGAAGTTTTGATGTCGCGCACGCGGACCCAGACGAGGAGCCGAATGATCACCTCGGCGATGTATTCCGGCCTCGACAAGGCCGAGCCGACGGATGGCGGGACCGATGGACAGCAACGTCGGAGCTTCATCATGCGGGCGCTTTTGGCGCGCGAGGGCGCGACCGACACGGCGGTTCCTTCTCACGTCCTACCCCATCTTCTGCGTGGGTTTGCCCTCCCTGAGGTGTTTCTCATGCTCGAGCTGGTGGCCGCGGAGAGCGTGGTGGTTGGGATTCAGAATCCTTCCGCCATGATTCATGGCGAGGCAATCACGGGATTTCTTCAAGAACATTGTGATGTCTACGTCGCGCCGGCGAGGACCGTGCCTTTTTGTAAGGATATATTTAAGTATCTACAGGCGCATCTCTCCACGGAAAGCTATCAGTTCTCCCTCGCGTCGCCGCATCTATCCTGGCTCAATAACGCCAATATGGTCAAAACCTGGCGTGCGGCATTGTTGAAAGCGGCAAACCTCAAGGATATCACTGCCAATTATGCCTTATTCCACCAACTCACGCATCTCATCCGACTGTATGGGCGACGGGATAACGGCCAGCGCATATTGGAAGAGATGGAAGGAATTGTCAATTATTATCAAAATAAAGTTCGCGCTTCCAAAAAAGCAAGTGCGAATCTCTATTCACCCGAGAAAAACAACATTGATCCCAACAAATATAGTGAGGTAGCGGATAACAGGAATGCCACGTCAAACAGTGTGTTGGATAAGCAGAGCGAAAACGGATCCAACAGCAGCAACTTCAACGACACGCCCTTCACGGAAGACATGTTCGAGAGCGTGTTTGGCTACTCCATTTTGCAGCTCTCCGCGTCTCTGGAGCTTCCCCACGTCGTAGCCTTTCTCCTCGAGCGACTCCAACTAAACCCACTCCACGCCCCGGCCCCCCTGGCGAAACAACGCCGGGAGCTATCCCGTCAGACCACGCAAGCCCACCCGAGCTCGCTGGAAAGCTCGGAGTGCCCGAGCTCCTCGCTGTCCGGGTCCGGT